AGTATGAGAGGTAAAGAATGGGGGAGTGGCCCCAGCTGAGACCCAGGAGCTCCCTCTGTGGCTGCCACCGCCAGGCAGCGCCACACGTGCTGACGCCTCAGCAGAGCCCTGGTTGGACCAAAATGAGGCTCTTGTTTCCTTCTTCCCCATTTTCCTTTCTTTTCTATCCAACAAATATTTAGTTATCACCTACTATGTGCCAGGAAGCCTTCTGGAGCTGGGTGCTGAAGCGTGGGGCTGGGTCAGCAGTGTCTTCCACAGTGAGGGGTCCATTTTGATCCCCGCCTGCTCTCTAGAGGCTCCGGTCCTTCTTCTTAGAAGCACCGTGAGGCTAGAGACCTGGGCAGCCGGGTAAGCTGTTGACTTGCCGGGGGGCCAAAAGACTCCCCATCAGACTGCAAGTCCCTGGGAGCCTGGCACCCCTGCAGAGGTGCCTCAGGATCCTGCAGTAGGGCATGGGTGGGGCCGGCCGCTCCTGCTCACTGAGGACTGTCTGACTTGGGGCAACCCCGTGTGCCACACAGGGTCCCACAGGACCACCCAGGAGGAGACAGCTGGGGATGTTGAGGGAGCAGATGGAGGTGGGGGAGGCTTCGGGCAGACCCAGGGCCAGGGTCCTATGCTGAGGATTGCAGTGTAGCCTGTGGACGGGGGGGCAGGGGGGACATGAGCTTCCTAGGGCTGTCAGAGCAAGTGACCTCAAATCCCGTGGCTTAAAGCCATGCGGGGGAGGGGGGGCTGTGGTCTCGCGGTTCTGAGACTGGAGCCACCCATCCAGGTACCAGCAGCTCCCGGGGAGAAGCCTTCCTTGCCTCCTCCCAGTGTCCCTGGGCTCCAGTGGTCCTCAGTGCCCCTTGGCCGGCAGCTGCAGCGCTGCGGTCCGTGTCTCCGTCTCCCTTGGCCTTCTCCCTCTGCGGCTGCCGATTCTCTGTGTCCAGATTTCCTTCTTCTGTAAAGTTACTGGATGTTGGGCCCAACTTAATCCCTCCTGTTAACCTGATTCCCTCTTCAAAGACCCGATTCCCAAATAAGGTCACACTTACAGGTACCCAGGATTAGGACTCCAATAAATCTCCTGGGGGACCGAATTCTACCTAGTGCCCGGGGTGAAAAGGATGATGTATATGGCCCCAAGCCAGGCGCAGTGGAGAGGAGTCCCAGCACTGGTCCCTGGGGTGCCAGGTGCCTCCCCTCTCGGGCAGGGCCAGGCACCCCCCACACTGGCCGTGACTGCAGCGGGTTTTCAACTTGCAGCATCTGGAGCCCGTGTGGCATGCCTTAGGGCTCAGCTCAGGTATCACACCCTTGATGACATCTTCCCCAACCTTCTCCTTAGAGAGAAGCCCTGGGCCCTTCCTCTGGGCTCTTCAGCCTCGTCTATAAGCATGGCAGGCTTCAGCGTGTGTGTTCCCTGGAGTCCCTCAGAACCAGGACTGGGTCTTACTCATCCTGGTCTTCTCCATCTGGTCCACAAGCACACAGTCGGCCCCCAGTGTTCAGTGAGGGAAGAACAACCAAGGGTGCTGGGTTGGGTGGGTGGATAGGTGGCCAGATGTGAACTGTTCCCTGGACAGGGAGGGCTTCCTGACCGCCCACCCCATCCCCCCCTACTTCTTCCATCCCCCTGCCCTGCCTTGGTTTGCTCCATGGGGAAACGTGGTGTCTCGCCTCTCTCTCTCCCCAGCACCTGTGCTGTGTGAGAACCAACACTTTGCCCATTTTCCCCAGTGCCAGGTCCACAGTATTTATGGAGTGGGGAGATGAATGGAGAGGTCGTGGCTCTCAGGATGGATGGACAGGTGCCTTAGGTGGGTGGTGTGTGGAAGTCTGTGGCTGTGGAGGTTTGACACTCCCATGATGGTGGCAGCCACCAGCATCACTCCTGCTCTCTGCTAGGGGTGTCTGCCTCCCCTTTTCTCTCCCCGCCCACACCTGTAGACCCAAGTTTTGTTCTCTATAGTTGTCACCTCAGGGAAAGACCCTAGCTGTCCCAGCCTGGATCATTAACCATCTGGGGCTGAAGCTCTGCAGCCAGAGCTCTGCTGGGCCTGCCCTTAATCCCTCGGAAATACCCACTGCGCCAGGTTGTGAGATTGCAGCCTCAGCCTGCCCCAGAATAGGCCGATTTTACATAACATGTTTTTGCAACCTGTTCAGTAACGTGTTGCCCCTCGGCACTGCCTGCACTGCCCTGTGGTGCGGAAGCATGTGTGTGTGTGTGTGCGTGTGTGCACACACATGTGTGCATGTGTTTCACGAGTGCTGTACCAATAGGGCACGAGGAAGGAGCCTCCTCTTCATGTTCATGTAACCCGCTTATCTCCCAGGCCCACTTGGTTATAGAAAGAGGTCAGAGGTCAGACAGAGGATCTGCAGTCAGGTCTCAGGGCCCGAGGAGAATGTGCCCTGAGACCTGTAGGGAAGCTGGGGACGTGCAGGCAGGGCCTGGTGGCTGCCCAGGTGGTGGCAGAGGCATGCCTATTGCAGGCTGACCAGCTGGTAGACCTGAGGGCTGGTTCTCGCTCTCATGGAGGGGAGCGCTCCTACCTGGACTGAGGTCCACCTCGGCTCTTTGAGAGCAGGAAGTGGACAGATTTGTTCAGCAAAGAACTAGAGCCAAGGCCGCTGGACTCTTAAAGTTGTCCTGACAAGCCTGGTCAGTGTCGTGCTGTCCCCTGGAGGGATGCACCCTGACTGAAAACAGGGGGGATCTCTGGTCTAAAGCCAGGACCCCACTGTCCCTAGCCAGGCCATCAGGAGCTCCTTTCCCATTCCTGTTCCTGTCGTCGGTGCCCTTGTCTAGGACAGGCCACTCTGGCCGGCCCTGTCTTACTGGTCACGTTTTAGGGCAGCTGTTTCCTTGAGATTGAGGGAGTGAGGGGCGCTTCTCATCCTGCCTGGATGATCTCCCCTGAGTCCTGGGGAAGAGTTAGGATCCGTGCTGCGGTGTGTCCAGCTCCCCATGGCTGCCCTCGGTGTGGGGGGCGGAGCCAGGATGTGGGTCAGAGCCCAGGACTCTGAGGCCCTGCTGAGGAGGCTGGCACCTCCTGGCCCCTATTATGCCAAGTGCCATGGGCAGCTCCGTCTGTCCAGCCTCAGAGCTGAGATCTCAGTCCGCCGCCAGCTCGGGAGGGAGCCTCGGCTTCCTGTCCATTGTCTACTTGGGGCACACCCAGTGTGTTCCTGAAGTGACCTGGAGAGGCTGGGAGGGAGGGAGGGAGGGAAGGAGGGAGGGAAGGGTCCGGCTGGAGCTTGCTCAGGGTGGGAGAGGGGAAGTGAGAGGGGAAGATTTGGTGTTTTTCCTTGTTTGTATTTTGTATTAAAGAAAACAAACAATATCCTTTGAGAAAACCATTAAACAACGCACATCCTAAGTCCCCAGAGCCCTATGGTGGCAGCCTGGAGTTGGGAATTCATTCATGCCTTTTTGGCTAGATTGTTGGAGGCAAGAGACATAGGCTGGGTCGGGAAGGGCCGTCACTGAATACAGTTTGAAACATGTCTTTCCCTCCCTGGTCTCAATAGGTGACTGAGCCAAGTGGCCGTAATGCCACAGTCCCTGTGTCCACAGTCCCTGTGTCCACAGTCCCTGACCAGTTGTCTCCCATTACCCTTCTGGAGAGCTCTCCTAGACTGGCCAGTCCCAGCATACTCAGGGCTGCCAGTGCTCCCCATCTCTCCCCCTGGTGGGGGCTGAGCCCTGTGAAGACAGACTAGTGGGACCTTCTCCATGGAGCCCCAATCCAGAGGTCTGTGTGCTCCCCAGGGGGTCAGGGCTGCAGCCACAGAACTGCCATCTCTCATTCTCCGCATGACCTCCCCCTGGGCTTTGGTCTCCCTGCCTGAAAAGTGAGAGTTGGGGTCAAACGGATACCCACTCACCATCCTCCAGAAGACCGGCCTCTGGCTTTCCATTGCTGTGTGTGCCCAAGTGGTAGATTCCATGTCAGGGAATGACATGTTCTCAGGTCTCCGATGCCCACGTCAGACCGCCCTCCAAAACCCCCAGGCCAGGTATCCCTGTTCTGTCCTGGGATGCTCACAGTGGGGGTGGCGTGCTGTCATGTCCCTGCTGGGGCACATTTTCCCATTGCAGGTGGAGGTGGCGGGAAGGTGGTGAGAACAGAACTGGCCATCATCCCAGATTTTGCAAGTACTTCTGCCCAGGCCTGGCATTTGGCAGAATCAACCCTGCATTATAAGTCGATCTTCCCAACCTTGATGTCAATGTATAAATAGTTGGCATGAGGGCATTTTACAAAAAAAAAAAAATCCTTAGAATCTTCCCCAGTCCCTCCTTCAAAGTTTAAAAAAGCATTTAACTATTTGCAGGTTTTCTCTAAATACTTCCCAGGCAATATAAGGAGAGGATTTGGGGTAAAATCACACAGGGCAGTCTGGCCTAGGATTAGGAGATGCTCTTCCCCTGCTTGAAGCTCAGGGTTAACAGACTTTAGCTCCTGGTCCTCTCAGCAGTGCCGAGTAGAAAGAAGTATCATTTCCATTTTGTTAGAAACTGGGAGATTGGAGAAGGATCTTGTTCCATCCTACAGCCAGTGAAGCATCCCTGGTCTAAGGGGACACAAAAACAGACCTCTGGATTGGGGCATCACCAGGAGGGTCCCACCGGCCTGCCTTCCAGTGCTCAGTTCCCAACCAAGGAAGGGTTGCGGGCAGCCGCAGCCCTGGCTCCATGGCCCGGCCTGCTCTCTGCAAGACTGAACAGCTCCCTCAGCGCTCTGGACCCGGCATCCTCGCCTACGTTTGTGGGCTTGGATAGGATGAATTCTAAGGTTCCCTTGGTCCCCGCCGTTCCTTGAGTCTGCGATTCTAGCCTCCTCACCTGGTGGGGAATTCATTAAATTCTAGCATTTTCCATTCTCTGTTGGATTTGGTGGTCACAGTTAGCTGCTCCTGCCCTCCTGTCCTGGATACTTGTATGGTCAGTTCTCTGCTCTCCTGCAGAAGTTATTCACAATCCCTCTTTCCCGGTGTCACAGGGCTACCACCCGATGCCCCATGAAGTGGAGATCGCACACACCAAGAAGCTGTTCCGGAGGAGGAGAAACGATCGAAGGTAGGAGACACCACAGTGAGCACTGGGTCTTCTTTTCCTGTGTGGGTGGCTGTGCCTTCTTCAGCCCTGGTCCGTGTTGTGCTTTTGCTTTCATTGATTGACACCCCTGAGATGAGGCTGGTAGGTTGGCGGCACGGTGGGCTTGGTTGCCAGTCGGAGATTCCCACACGGCACCAGTGGCCCAGAGACAGGACCCTTATAGGGTCCGGCAAAGCACAAACCTGCTGGCTGCGTGTTTTGAGAGATGGCCTCCAGGAGGCTCCCGGAGCTCACAAGTCCAAGGATATCTGTTTTTCCTTCTCCCTGACATGGGGAGTTGTCCCTGGGATTGCCGGCTGGCTGACACAGACAACCCAGATCAGCAATAGACAGTACTGCTGCTCCCAAACAGTGAGCCAGTGAGCAGTGAGCCAGGCTCTCCCGTGGCGCTTAGAATCCTGGGTGACCATCGGGGAACAGGAAAGGACTGATGAGGTGGTTTGGGTAAGAACAAGCAACGGAGATTGGCCGTCTGGGGAATGCAAGCGTTTGTTTGCGACAAGGCTTTCTTACTGGGAAAAGTCTTCATGCTATAGTTTAAGTGAAAAAAAAAAAAAATTCCAGGTGCAGAACAGTATTTATTGTGTGTGGCCATTTGTGCAAAAGGGGGAGTCGGAGTATATTTTTTGCTTGAATGTGCATAAATTATTTCTGGATGGAAATCCAAAAAAAGAAAGAACAAAAAGGCATATGCCTGAGGAATTCAAATGATGTGTTCCCTGTAGGGAACTTATTCTTACATGAAGGTGATGTCTTGTGACTTTACCTTTCGTGAACAGAGACTGTTCTCGGAGAGATGAGGAATAGCCAGCTGACATCCCCTGATCAGAAAATGAGGAGTGCCTGCCCTCATGCTGCGTGGCCACCTCCTGGAGATGGAGGGCTGTGGCTGACCAGCGTCTCCAACCCTCCCCTTGGCATGCAGGCCCTGATCACGGGGTATGAGGTGGTGGCCACAACTCTCAGGGTGGGAGGAGGACACAGTACCCAGAGGGCTTGTCCTCCAATAGCAGATTTAGTGAGTTTGAAAACATTCACAGAAGACAGTAAATGTCCAACTAGCTGGGAGGCAGGCCGCCCTGGCTTACAAGTCGGAACCACCAGGCACTTTATGTGGAACCACCAGGCATCAAAGGGGAAACTTGAGCCGGGAGAGTTGGACCGAGCCCGGCCCCTGCTGCGGCCAGAGTACAGCTAATTGCATTGTGTGAGCTGCCTCTGCTGGGCAGAGCCGCACAGGCCACGTCCTGGCTTCTGGGTTCCCAGCAGAGTTAAAAAACAGAGAGTACCCCTAAAGGAAGAATGGGGTTCCCAAGGGCTTAAGCATGCCAGGGGGAACAGAATGTGTGTCTCAAAGGCATGGAGAGTCCCCAAGCTTCCGAATTAAACGGCTTCTTCTGGCCCAGGCAGTGGCATCCAGGTCAGCCCACATGTCCCTTTCTGGGCCAGGTCACCTTGTTCCACAGGAGTCCCCTGGACCAGGGCAGGCCTCCGGAAAGCAGCAGCATGACCCAGGAATGTAGGAAGAGCAACATGCACGACACACCAGGACTGGGGAGCTGAGCTGCACTCATAGTAGCCAATGCCCGGGGTAGGTCAGCTCACCTCGCAGAGGATGTGGGCTGGGCCAGCATCCAGAGCAAGGCAATAAAGATGATTAAAGGGATGGAAAGTATGTCCTGGAGGAGAGCTGGAAGGCTGGGGCCAGGGAAGAGGAAAGAACATCCACACTGCGAAACTCATGAAAGATTTACACAGAGGGGAAAGGGTGGCTGCCTGGTTGCTCCCCGGGACCCAAACTAGAGGAAGTCAGCTGAGACAAAAGGAGAGAGTTTTCAGGTGGACCAATGACAGACTCAAGGATCGAACGTCTCCACCATCAGGGTCAGACTGCAATTCAGGGTAGCAGATGCTCACTGAGTCAAAGCTGGTCAGGGCGCCCCACCCTCCTTCCCGTGCTGGAGCACAGTACAGCCCATCACCACCGCCTGAGTCATCCTGGAGTCCCCAGGAGATGGGACAGGTAGCCATGGGGTTTAAGGATCTCATTGTCTAAAAGCAGGGGGGCCCTGAATCCTTATCAGGCCAATCCCAACCCTCCTGGTAGATTATCCTCCTGAGTGGTCTTGCTAAGCGCTGAACCTTTATGTTTGACCTTGATGGTTAGCACTTCTGTCCAGCAGGTCAGCCTACTTTGGGGCTTAAACCACAACGAGAAGGGCTTGCATTCCATGAGAATACCACACAGCAAAGGGGGAGGAGGTGATCAACATCAGGTTTGTTGTCAGAGGGACACAGCCAGCATCTGTATCATGCCTGTGATCTCACCCCTGGTTCATGGAGGGAGGTAGCCATCTCTGGCTCTCCTTGGTTTGCCTACAAGAGCCCGTGGCCTTGGCTTCCTGCAAAGTGACTTGAGTCTGGATCTGAGAGCTGAAGGCTCTGTGTAGCATGGGCACATAGCTGCAGATAGGATTGTGTGATGCCCCAAAAACCATCTTCAAGGAAGTCTGCACCATGTCCCAGTCCCAGCTGGCTCTTGGGGTGTTTCTGTGCACCCTGACTGCCTTAATTTCCCACTTGTCTCAATCAGAGGCTGTTAGAAAGCTGCATAATGTCACACCGGTGGCTCACACCCCAGAATTAGAAGCTGGATGTGAATCCCACCCGCTTTGCTCACCAGCTCTGGGATATTGGCAAATTGCTTCATATCTAGAAAGCGCGATTGCCTCTTCCGTAAAGTGCATCCACTAGTTGGGAGACTTGAAGGAGCTTGATCTTGTAAAGTGCCTTGGAATGGTCAGCCCACTCTCAGGTCAGAGGGAGGTCCGGGTGGCCAGCAAGCCTTGCCAGGCAGTATGCATAAGGGATGCTGCTCACCCACCACCCAGAGGGGGCCAGGTTTGCTTGTGAACCCAGGAAGCCTTGCCTTGTACCCCTTCCAGGGTCAGGGCACCAGGTCAGTTGTTTGCCTTCTCCTGGACCAACTTTGAAAGCTCTGTCTCCACAGTCCTGACCTCCCCAAGCCCAGCTGGCAGGCCAAGAGAGCCCCTCCACGGCAGCCATCCCCAGATTCTGCTCCCCATTTCCACAGGCTGCTTCAGGGGGCTCTGTGATAAAAATTGAGTTGTGGATGTCTCCCCACCCCACACCCATTTTGCAGGGGGAAAAAAAAAATAAGGTCTTGGACAGTTCAAAGGTTTTCTCCTTAAAAATGTTCTTGAATTTGGACAACGGATAACAACTTGTTTATTTTGGGAAGCTTGTAGAAGACAGCAGATTTCAGGCCGAGTCCTGCATTTTATCATCTAGACCCGATAAGTGAGTTCTCAGTGCATTCCCCAGAGAGCAGCAGGGCTTCAGGTGCTCTGTCCTCCAAAGAGGTGGAGACCGCTACTTGGAAGAGAGTGTACCGAGGTTCATCTGCCTCCTCCCAAAGCTCTCTGCCCCCAGAGTGCAGAGCAGAGGAGCACATTCACTAGAAGGCTGAAGTCTAGGCCCATGGCCTCTGTTGACCTTGAGTGGTGTCCTCTGGGGAGGGGACAGAGGATTTTCTCAGCCCCTCCCCTAAGACCCACCCCCAGCTCCATTTTAAGAGCTAAACAGACTAAGGAGATGCCATGGTCTGGGTTCCCTGGGAAACAGATTCCGGGATGGAGATTAGCTTTTTAAGGAATGCCTTGGAATCCATCTGTGGAAAAGAAAGGGGGAGGGGAGGGGTGCAGGATTGGGCAGAAGTTGACCTGCATTGAGGACTTCCTGGGAGTTCTCAAGTTGGGAACTCTTTAGAGTTGACCCAAGATGAAGTGACAGGGCAGGCCTTTACACCTTGTGTCCCTTGGTCATCAGATGGAGACTGCCAGGGGGAAAGGAGGTGTGACCTCAGGCTGAGCAGCTGTCTTCACCCAGTGCGGTTTCTGTAGAGGGTCGCAGGGCAGGCATACTTTCTTCCTGAAGGGGACGTGGGCGCCATCACAGCCAGCCCCACAGTGAACTGCTATTGAACTCACCAACTTGGATTGATGGGGCTGTCCTCGGTGTTAGGTGCAGTGTTCCCAAGAGCATCAGAGTACAAGGTGTGGTCCCTGCCCTCAAGGACCAGAGGTGGAACTTGTACAATGGCACACTTATTCCACAATCAGCCAGAATGTGGTGCTTGCCTGTGGAGCGTCTCGTGCTAATTCAGAGGTGGCTTAGGAAAGGAGCCATCATGGGGGGTGGTTCTGGAAGGCTTCCTGGAAGAGGTGGTGATTGAACCACTGGTGAGACTGGAGGAGGATTTGGAAGGGAGATGGGACAGCCAGGGACCACAGGAGGGTGAATTACACAGCTAGGTAGGCACTGGGGCCAGGGATCCCCACCCCTCCCAGAAGTGAGACAAACAGGCGGGACTCAGCACCCCACAGAGCTAAATAGGAGGGAGCAGTGAGAACACGCTGGCTCTAACAGTCCCCCGGCCAGGCTGTTAGGAGTCTCAGTAGACCCTGCAGCTCCAAAGCCCAGCTCTTAGCAATTACCATAAGGCAGCTAATGGAGACATTAGCGGTCCATTGCAGATGCCCACCAGTGTGACCAGGGAGGCAGGAGAGCTGTTTTCCAAATTAATTTGCTTCATTAAATGAGGTCTCAGAACGGTTAATTTAGTCCATGGCCAATCAGATGGAAGGGAAGAAGAAAAGAAGACCTTAGCCGTCCCACCCAGTGTCAATGGCTGCACTGGGCAAGAAGCAGGGGAGAGGGGTGCGGAGCTGGGCCACCTTCTGGATAGTGCAGAAGGTCACAGCTCTGTCTACCATTGACTGTGGCTAGAGCTTAGTGTTAGTGAACTCAGGATGAGTTCAAAGGCTAAGAATCAGAGCTCCGATGTCTGAGGACAGGAGTATGGATGTCCCACTCAGGAAGAGAGGGTGACGTCACCCTTCCTCTGCCTTTTTGTTCCTTTCAAGTCCTCAGACGGTGTC